GCCCGAAATTTTCAAATTAAATTCGTCCAGCATCCCAAACATCTGTCTTATCTTTTACGACTGCCGTCTTCTGTACCTCACGTGTTTCCCTCTTTTTATCGCGATAAGCCCACATTCCAATTTTCCCACTGAACCGAGACAAAGAAGCCAGATGCGCTAATTTACAACTTCCGGTTTTCAAAATCTGGTGAACCTCCAAAAATTCTTGTGATTTCACACTATCATTTCGTATTCTTCCCAAATAATTATAATCATATCAATAATTATCGGATTGATTCGCCCAATAGTTCCACTTTCACCTCAATTTTTTAATTTTTATCTATCTGACACAAGTGATAATGGGTTTTATTTATAAATAATCCGAGGAATTGTTCAAACGAATGAAACTTTGACGCAAATCTATTCCGGCTGATGCGTACGGCATTTAACAAACGATCGTACAAGATTAAAAAATTCGTAACGACGCCGTTAAAAGACAACTAGAACTTGCAAGATGGCCACAGCTGGTGCTCCGTTCCCGTTTGGACCACCGAGAAGGGGATGAAATACAACGGGTAATATCACTCTGCCCCATCAATTCCCCCATCGCTGGATTTCACCCCAAAATATAAACAATACTTCACGAAAAAACAAACAGCATTCCTAAAAAATACCTCCTCGCTAGAAATAACACTTCCTCAAGCTGTTCTAATCTTCCTACTCCATCAATAAACAATCAGAACCCATTCATATTCCACTGAAGTTGGAAAATCACATCTACGATAAATTCTGAAAGGACGAAAATTTTCAACTCCAAATGAACTCAATGAATATCTTAATTAATTCATTATTTCATTACCCACGAAGTTTGATAAGCGTGCGATCATTTTTTTGTGGTTTTTTTTTTAAGTTTTATGAATTTTTGAGAAGTCCCGGAAAAACGAAAGGGAGTTATTGATTATGACATTTTGGGAGTCATTATAATAATCATAATCATAATGATAAAATGCGACTGATGAAATATAATAAAACGATAAAATGTGGATTTTGTCGCGTCAATTTAATCGACAATTTATTAGAAAATTGAAAAAAATCGGAGATCATGATTAAAAGGTGCAGAACATCCTGAAGATGGTAACCGGCAGACAACTTCAACATTGCGGTCCTACCAAATAAATTGTTTATAGCTTTTCCTGTGCCTTCGAACTGAGTGTAAAATTATGCTCTCCGGCACACCAAGCGCATCCCAGATTCACACACGTTGAAACATTACGTTTTCTCAAATATCCCGAAGACCTCGGATGCCACGAGATGCTCAACCAATAATTTGATCAATTTTAATGCGAGAAAACCCATTGAAATGGCGAGAATTTTTTTTTACGAAATTTTGACTGACGAGGGAATTTTTTCGAAACTTCAAACTTGATGAAGAATCCATTACCATTGAAAAATGTATAATAAATAATAAAAAATAATAAATAATAAAAAATAATAAAATAAAAATTGGACCGGTTGAATTATTATTATTATTTAGGAATTTTGTGGACTGACAAGTTGCATTTGGTTTTTATTTGAGGGGGAGGGTGGATCCACTATTTAAGACCTCTTCATCCCCCAGATATCTCCCCCCAGACTGCATGTTTCAGTGTTTTGATAAGATTGTAAACAATTTAGAACTACTGTAACTCGTTGATGCTGTCATCGAGCTACCAGGGGAGTGCGTCCTCGAAAGAAGAGGAACTTCGTTGGGGAGATTTTCGAGACGAGTGCTAAAAGCCAGTGGATCATAACCAGGATACCACGCTGCGAGTAAACAGACCTTAAGAGGCCCCCGGGACTTTCCATAAACAGAATTAAATTTTTAATTCTCGGTTAATGATTCACGGTGTTCTATACGCAATGGGGATGAAGATGGTGAGGTAGGGCGAGGAGAGGATGTTATTTGGAATTGGAGAAAATGAATCGATTCAAGAGGCCTCAAAACTTTGCACGCTTTCCAAAATAGCTGAGATCGTGTAAACATCGTCTTATTTCGGATTCGTTCTTCCCCTCGAATGAAACTGCGGTTCTAACTTGCTATAGTGACCAGAAAGAAACACTCACCAGACGCTACTCAGTCGTTTTGAGAGCAAGGCATTTATAATTAAAACATGATATTTTCAATTGTTGGAAAATTCAAAGACTACTCGGTTTATCACTCCTAAAGTGTAACCCGCGGCAACAAAATTGTGGAACCACCGAAAATTCATTGTAATGTTCTCAGAAAATAACTCTTCTCAACTTTACCCCTTTTCTCTATAAATAATTCATGTATCCTCAATAATATTAATGAAATAATAAATATTGCTATCGAAAAATTCTGAATTATCTCGTTTTTGATTTTTAAGTTGTCATAATTGTGAATCGATTCTTTCAAATTTCTAAAGTTTTGTCAATTTATGCAAAAGTTTACTGCGGATGTACGAAAATTCTTGAAGACACTGAATAATTTTATAATTAAATTCAATTAGATTAGCTGGATGAGTTGAATTTTACTGAGAAATGTTACTTTGAAAAAATACCCAGGAATTAGGGGATGAGACATTGACTAATTGATGCGGATAATGGACCACGATAATGCAAACATGAGAAATGAATTTATTTTTGTTCGATGATGGAAGGTTGTTCGGGGGTAACTAGCGATGTTTGAGGGTAACATTTGAATATGAAAAGTTGAAAAATCAAAGGGAATGAATGACACTGAGGGACACCATAGGGTTTGTGTACCAGACGTGTACGATCAGTGGTATAAAATGACGGATATCGTGTAAACAGCGTTGTCGGCGCGTCTGATGGCTTCCTGGGTGGCCCCGACGTTTTTCCCTCAACTCTCAACGAGAGCTGCACCATCACGTGCTATCCAGAGCCACGAGGCACTAACCTTCCTCTGCTTCCTCCCAATCAAATTAAAATCCAAAAAGAATTACACGAGAAGAAATCACGAAATAGTCATTTACGTGACAAGCTCTAAAAAAATTGATCACCTGGTGAGCGCGTGGTGATGGCCGTTCCGAAAAAATTACTGTATCACATATTATTAATATTAATTTTTATAATTTTAAGACAACTTTAAATTCATAATAAATAATCTCAAACGGCTAGATAACTTTTGCCAAGCTCACGGAGGGAAATATTTTAATCGCTTACCGATTACGAAATCGATTTGGAAAATTTAAAGGACAGATTTAAATTATCGTAATTTTTCACTAATAATTCAAATAGAAATGACGGGAAGCCGCAGAAAAATTTCGTTACTGCAGATAAAATTACGTGACAGTTCAAATTTTCCTACAGCTACATTTCGATCCGGAATTACGGAAAAGGTACGTAATTTTTATTGAATAATAGACGATCCAGGAAAAGTGGATAATTTTATTAGAGATCGATGCCCTCAAGAATCGAGCGATGGCATTAAGATGGGAAAATGAGAACTTTCTTTTTGAGATAGAGATAAGAACCACTTGAGGCAATCCCGGGGCTGAACCAATCTCGAAGGCGTAACGGTAAACAGAAGCTTTCCACCCTTGAGGCCCTGGGGGTAGTCCCAGAAGAAAGAACAAGTGGGTGGACCAGAAACATCTCAAGATGTTTCGAAAATTCCTCAACCCCTTACACCACACGCAGACGCCTATCACATAAATTTTCACAAGTGCTCGGAGACCCCCAGCGACAATTTTTTTTATCAACAGACAAACCCATAATTCAATCCACGAAATAAAAATAATTAAACAGCAAGAAAGGGTTAATACAAATGACTGGAAAATCCTGGAATTTTCGAGGATTCGAGAGAAAATCGTTAAACCAAACGTAATTCAATAAGAAAAACCTATTTTTTGAGGAACATGTAACTGAAGTTTAAGTTCGTATAAAACAGTATAAAAATTGTTATAATTATCCACTGGCTTCCAGTGTATTTCGGTGTATTTTAATATTTCGAGTTTTTATGAATTCTTTCCCTCCGGATTTTATTTTGACGTTTTCTCGGATCATTCGATGATACAGACTAAATACTGCACAAGGCCCTAAACATGCGCCCTGTCACCTCTCTCTCATCACATTACTCCTGGCAACCCAAACAAACCCAAATTCAACGATCTGAAGAAAGAGAAGTGTTTCATGTCCTGAGAACAAGAGCCCCAGAGAAAGAGAAGAATTAAATCCCTCTTAGTATCTAATCTTTGAATATCTCTATGACGTCTTTGTGTCATTCGAGCCGACATGACACCCCGTGAAAAATAAACAGGACTCTTTCAATCGGTTCCTCATTGACGTGAGTCACTCAAGAAAAAGATGCGAAATATTCTGCCGACAGTTGTATCAATTATCGTTCAATTTTTATCACTCGACAATTATCCCACACTACACAGGAAAAAAAACATTTTTTTTCCAATTCCGAAAAACTAAATAACCGACCGATTTTTCGGATGGCTGTTAAAAAAGGCTTATGTATAGTTTATGTATAATAAAAAGTTTATCAATAAAAATGGTCTATTTTTATTTAATAAAAAAAAACCATTCGTAATGTATTTATGAATTAATCCTTCATCAAATATCCTTTTAGCAATTTCAATTTAAAAAATGTAATAAACTCATTTTTTATCATTTCAATCCGTCTTTGAATAATGTCTGGGCAAAAATTTCGTTCTCTCATTTCGGAGGTATAAACTGGAATCTGTCAAAACGAAAAGCTGCAAAAATGCACTTCCAACAACTTCCAACTCCACAACTGGAATATTAATTAATCAAATAACGAACTAACATAGATGAGCCATTGAAAATGCCATAAAGCCCGAGATGTACCTCGAGAACTCGTCAATTGGTCCCTAGATCCCTGCACGTCAACAAACCGAACCACTCGTACATGAGAATTAACCGAATCCCCTCCCACAGGCGTCACCAACGAGTAAAGCCACACCCCAGCATCATCGGAATCGTCTCCTCATCCGATCATCTTGGTCCACCAGTCATCCGTAAAGCTTACACGCGACACTTCCTCTCCCAGTGCCCCATCCAAACAAATCCATAATTGATCCAATACACCCCAAACCCCCAAACAGTTTACACAATCCACTCTCCCATGTAAACAATCTCCACCGAGAGCGTTGAACCCGTGGTATCACCAGAGACAAGAGAAAAAAAAAACAAGAAAAAAAGATGTGCTCCCTGTGACGAGTCAAACAGTGAATAAATCCGCCCCAATGTATGACAATTACCTAAACTCAAAAATGAAGAACGATGTGGAATCACCAGTACTTCATCTCCACGACCACCTGACATCATCATCGAGTGCTCTCGCCTCCAGGACAGGCTCAAGTGTGATGTCATTGTCCCAGAGTGATCCCCTAGTGACAAATTCCACCGAGACCCCACGAAAGCCCGGTGCACGTCGCCAGGAGAAGCCCCCATACTCCTACATAGCCCTGATTGTCATGGCAATCCAATCGAGCCCCGACAAACGCCTGACCCTATCCGAGATCTACACATTTCTCCAACAGCGATTTCCCTTCTTCCGAGGTGCCTACCAAGGCTGGAAGAACTCGGTGCGACACAACCTGAGCCTCAACGAGTGTTTCATCAAGTTGCCCAAGGGCCTGGGAAGACCAGGAAAGGGTCACTACTGGACAATTGATCCAGCTAGTGAATATATGTTCGAGGAGGGAAGTTTTCGTCGGAGACCCAGGGGATTCAGGAGGAAATGTCAAGCACTCAAGCCCCAATACTCTCAATATTTTACACCTGGAGCACCCATGACTGTTGGTGGGGTACAGCCACCTGGTTATGACAACATCAGTGGAGCTAGTGTTGATTATCCTAATGGATATCAGAATCAGTATCAGAATTATCAGGAGTATGCATCGATGTATGGGACAGCCGGTGGAACTGTTCCAGAGTGGAGTTCATATCCTGAGACGTACAAACCCCCACCTCCACCCATTGCCGAGGTGACGTACAAAACGACGGAAGTCACTTATAAAACTGGTGAAACATCGTTGTACAGAAATGGAGAGATTGCCTTCAAGAATGAGCCGTACGTCAGGAGTCAGGGGGATCAACTGTCTTACAGACCCAATGACGTATTTTTGAGTAAGGAACACAATCAGGGACAGGAGGGAGGGGGGTACAAGACGGAGAGTGATCAGGAGGGAATCATGAGCTGTAATTACAAGTGTGGAACTGGTGGACAGCCGCAGATATCACAGCATCCGCAGGATTATTATGTTGGATATGGGCTTGGGGGTAATTGTGGGAATATTAATGTTGCTGCTATGAGGAGTCTTCAGGCACACACTGGGGGAAGTAGTCCCATTGGAAATATCAGCTCGCCCTATAGTGAATGCCCTACACCTGCTAATGATCATGGTACGTAATTGCTATTTATTATTTTCACTCTCGACTGCTTATGGACACTCGTTGGAAAATTACACTTGCAATTTTCGAGTTTAAAAAACGGAAATTTTTCAGAATTCTTCATTGACGAGTCATTTAGGCTCTTGAATGCTCTGGCAATTCTGTGTTTTCAGGGTGAGCAATAATTTTCCTGAATTTTCGATCTAGTGAAAATTCAAGGTTTAGTGAAGAATAAATCAACCATTTCACGTGAAAAACTCAATTTTCGAGAATTTCGGAAAATTGGGAATTTAGTGAATTTTCAATTGAAATTGAATTAAAACTCATATGATTAAAAATTCAGATCATGGATGACTGTGACTGAAATTTCAAGTCAAATTATTGAGAACCAATCGAAGAGCCGAAATTTGGAGTTTTAAATTGTTCTCTCCGACAAAAATTCAGGAATTGAATTTTCGGAGGGAAATCTCATGGATGAAAAAATGATGGAAAAAAAGAGTCAAGAGGATAATAAATTTTTCCAACGGTTCTGAGGGAACTAATGCTGTCGCCATAGTTTGGTATTCATTTCTATTTTGAAATGTGTAATACGATAGCATAATACGATGTCCCTGCGAAAAGGGTGGAATCCACCAGGCACGACCTGTTGTGGTGCAGGTCTCGTACCACCCATAGAGACTAGACTAAATGTGTTGACTTTTACGAGGGTCAATTTTCCATGGCTGTCGAGAAGGATCGGCAAGGACTCAACGACGCCGGGCCATGTGGGAAAAATGAGAAAATTTTATGGGTTCAATGGGCGCCGGCCTACTAACACAACATTAAACCGTCATATCCCTTTACTTGTCAATTAAATTCCTTAAAAATTCCCGGTTTTTCATCATTCCCGACAAATTTTTAAAGGAATTGACACGAATAATATATTTTTTTTCGCATTAAATCATTTACTGACTCCCACAATGAAAAAAAAAACTTTAAAAATACTGACAAAATCCAAATATGATATATATCAAGTCAATCCTATCATCTACTCCTATTATCCGATTTTTAATTTAAATTATTGAATTATTATGATTGAAAAAACTTATGCAGGTCATTGAAAATTTTGTTACGTTATCCAGTATTATTTGTTATGTAAATTGGAGTCTTCCTCAAGTGTCTCAAAATTGTTTATTAATGTTGCGAGTTCGACGACTCGATTCAGTGAAACGGAAGAACGTCGTCTTCTGAAACCGACGGGACATGACAGGGACTATTAGCTCCGGTGACAGTTAGCTTTTTAACGCACTCAACACGTGTCAACCGAGTCTCAAAAATCATCATCAACGTCACAAACATCCCTAAGAAAACTACAATGAATTAAAAACTCAATTCACGGAACGAGCTGTCGACAAAATCACGATTTTTCTGGTTCTAGGGGTGAAATTATAGTGCTTTGAGAAATATCCCCCCCAATCGCTTGCGCCAAATTTTTTTAACACCTTCATTGTTAATTAACTATACAAGTTATTAAACAATTGAATAAAAACAACGAAAAAAAATTCCAAACGATGTATGGAAACGAGAAGTAGTTTAGATTCACGGAGGATTTTAAATTTCATCGGAGTTCTCTGTTGTGATACGAAAATCGGCATCTAATTATGAAAGTGGTAAAAAAAATCGTTCTTTTGTAAACTCATATTGCCTAAGTAGTCACACTCAACCAAGTGCGATCACGGGCCATCTATCATCAAAATGTTTATAAATTCGATAAACAACGCGTTCTTTAATCCACTCTTGCCAGTCGAGAGTGCCTTTAAACCCCGATTATATATTCGTTAATTCGGTAGCGAGTAATTTTTTTCCTCAATAGAAGATTGAAAGAAATATCCTATTCTAATCCTGTTCTGAACAGTAAACTAATAAAATATATCGGAACTCGGTGAATCCTGTTCTCCAGTGGAACCACGGCGCCAGTTATATTTTGTTATATGAAATCAATTTCATATAACACATTCGCCTGAATTTTTAATACTATTCCTCGCGTTTCCCTGTCGCTCGCGAATCGCAAATATCAATCGGGCAATGAAAAAAAATGAAATTCAATTTCTAGTGACTCACGATTTCTCCTCGTTTCCTTGTGGTCGTTGAAGACTCTTGTGCTCGCACTTCACTTCTGAAAAAAAGGAAACCAGAATATTCACTGAATCATTGTAAGAAAGAAATAAAGAACGAATAGACTCGTATTCATTTCCGGAAATTATGCTCAATTTTACTGTAACTAGAGAGATTCATGTTTGAATGGAGCTATTGAATCATAAATCGTAGCAAACACCTAAACCTGTCGTCAAAAATTTCGTTTATTTTTATTTCCATGCATCGTGTCCACTTCTTGATTTTAAATTAGGGGAATCATGGCCAATAAATTGATAATGCCTGTTTGAGGAGGTACTCGAGGCCTAGAGACAACTTTAGTAAAAGAGAGAAAAGGGACAGGAGTCAAGTGTTTTCGTACTTGAGCGATCAACTTGAAAACATGGACCTCTCTAGGGGTATCGTTTTTTTATCGTAATCTCCGGAGATTGCGTGTGGTCCTCTCAAAATTGTAGTGATGGATAAAAGTGAAAGCAGAATGGAGAAGCCGAATTTAATAAAATTCCTAGAGAAATAATTTTGCTCATTTATTTGCTTGCAGGGTTGAGAATCCAGAGCTGCAATTCGAGTTCCAACAGCTCGGGTGGAGCTTTAGTGGAGCGAAAACCCTCGTACCTTGGGCATACCCCAAGCTCTGTATATTTTATCTAATGAAATAGCAGAAGCCATCGATACGAATCATCTCACCAAAAACTCAATGCCAAATTCGATGCAAAGATGTACCAAAAACGAGTGCCTATTTATATTCATTCATCAGCCTTAACTAAAGAAAAATCTACTATTGTATTAAGACTATTAAGGATTAAGGAATTAAGGAGAGATCATCTGTTCTGCAGAATAAAAATATTGTTTGCTAAAAAATATTCACTTTTCTTTGAGCTTTGAGAGATAAGGAAATAATGTGGTAACACGTTGCATCCAGACGTGCAGCCGAGTATTTGTACGAGACCCAGAATCACCCAGAGGTCGTAAAAAACGTGGTAGCACGTGGGATGGGTACATAAGGGGGTAGTTTCACGTGGTGGTCACTCCAGTTGTTCAAACATTCGGATTCTCCGAGGTTGAGGGAGAATCTAGGCTCAAGGACACGAAATTGTATTTTTTCTTTCATAAAAAAATTGTTATTGACCGAGCAATTGATGATTTTCCATAATTCCTCAACGTCGTTTGAACGCTTGATTAAATTCACAACTAAATAAATCGAATCGCTGATACTTTTGATGGATAATTAGTAAAAATTTAATTCAGTGAATTCTATAATTAATAGGGTAATTTTCTCACCTCGTTATCTCCTCGTATCATCGCACCACGGTTTCTTTCTCACATCGTTTTTTTTTTTCACATTGATATTTACACGATAAATTAAACATCACGACACAATCTGCAACGGCTGAAGGCATGTGGCGTACGTTGGCAACACGAAGCAGATTCCAGCGGTACGGCAAACAGATCTCAGAACCATTTAATTTCCCATTAATTCATCCACCACACCCACAGGCCTCAGCATCTATTTTCCCTGAAACATCACACGAGAGATATATGAGACTTGACAAATAGGTCTCGTAGGTCAGTACGAAATAATTCCAGAGATACTCGGGTGTGACCGTTTTTTATGGAGAGAAATAAATAGATAAGTGGTAGTGCGTTAACTTTGGAGGATCGTCATGACGTGCAAGCGGAGCCACTCAACGATCCTGATGACAGCCCCACAACACTGTCATCCATTCTCTACCTCTCTACCTATTTTTCCAAATTTAATATTCTGTATCCACAAAAAAAGCATCGAGTCCAGCCACGGAAATTTAAGTGATGGAACTCGAGTGAGGATGTTTCGAGTTTGGGATGATGACGCTTTTAACCGAAATTGACTTTTTCTTCGATTTTTCCTGACGAATTATCGATGGCATCGATGGCAAAAAATGTAACGATATTGCATTTTGCCGCTATTTAATGATTTACGAAGTTTTCAAGATGGTGTGAAGATCTTCCTGACTTTTCTCGAAACGTTTAAAACGAATCACAAGACTTTCGGAAGAACGCATGAAACAACGCTCTAAATCGTTTTACCTTTTATGTCAATCTGATCCATGGTTTCCCAGATTTGCCAAAAACATGAGAAGTGAGAAGATATGATCAATATCTTCTTAAAATTGAAGGAATGATTTGTGTATTTAAAATGAAAAACTGAACAATTTTCTCACCTCGCCGAAAAAACCTCCAACCAGTCGGTTTTCGTAAACAGAAGAACAAAGACAACCCGTACATGACTCCAACTGAACCCGCACATTTCCCGGCCCCATCTATTTGTTTACCTCGAACTTGAACAATGGGATAGACAATTCCCTCCAAAATCTCAGAAAAATAAAAAACTCTCCCAAATAATCAAATAAACACCGCAAATGTTGGCGAATGGTCGACAGTAAAGACTCGAAAATCGGCGAAAGACATATAATTCACCGTTCGTAAATAATCACTCAATGAGTGTGTATAATTAAACACTCGATTACTATTGTATATTATTTCCCCCTCCGTAGTAAACATACATTATTAAACGTTTACAAAATGTTCATTTCACCGAGATCGACGTTCTTGGGATGATTTAAAGACATACGAGGTGAGAACAAAGGACTGACGTGACGCCATCTTAATTATTCTTTGCAAACAACACATCGCGAAACTCCCAATAATTATTCAAAAGATGGCGCCAAAAGCGCATCGGCAGTTTTCGAACTGCCGAGGCTCCAGTCTCGAAACGAGGGAATGGCGACCAGCTGTGAATCACCTCCGAAAACTCATTAATCCAATTTTTTACAGAAATTAACTTCAACTCTCCCATATCACTATCGCCATGGAGGAAATTCTCGCCAAATTGCTGGTGGCTGATAATTCCGTTATCCAACAGGTACGGACACTAAATCCATCGAATTAATTAATCAACTCTCGACATTAATTCATGATCTAACACGTGCTCATCCGGCTTTAGTTAACTTGTCAATTATTAATTAATTGTTCGTTCAAAGGGAACTGCCGAGCTGAGGGCAGCTTTGGTCAAGCCAGAGAGCACTCCGATGCTGTGTGAATTGATCGTGTCGTCTGTTAATCCAGAGGTAAATGTCTAGCGCATCTCAGGACATATTCAAAATTTTCAAGATTTTTCCTTTTCGTATTGAGAGGGAAATATAAAAGCCACTGAAACTGTTAATTCGAAAATTGATACCTGTCGTCAACTGAAAAAAAAAATCGTCGCGAGTTTTCTTCAATTTCAAATTATTCATTCTGAAACAGACTGATTTGATCCACTCCACTATTCGCTGAGCAAGTGCCAAAAATTTATTAACACCGATTGGAATTTCAGATAAGACAATATGCAACTCTGTTGCTGCGAAAGAGATACACGAAAGGAAAGCACTGGAACCAGCTTCCACCTACAATCCGCAATCAAGTGAAAGCAATTCTGCTGCCAGGTCTAGTAAACGAGCCGGATAAACAAGTGAAAAACGGGATTGCCCAGTTAATCGGAGTAATCGTTAAGCATGAATTGCCCCACAATACTTGGCCGGAGATATTCCAGTTCATCCAGCAGCTCGTGACGAGCGAGAGCATGACTGATAAAGAATTAGGCATGTACACATTAGCGACAATGACAGGAATGGCACCAGAGGTGTACCTCGCCCACGCAGCATCCCTGATGAGCCTGCTGGGTCAGACTTTCAGTGGTCTGCAAGACCTGGGTACCCCAGTTGCATTCTATATCATCCAGACGATGCTACACCTGACGCCCTTGGTCGAGAATAATCAGGTGATGGTGAATGCCTACAACCAGATGATTCCAATAGCGATTAATGCAATCCAAGCACTGACAGCTACAAGCCAAGAAAAAGCCGCTGAGGCTATGGAGCTCTTCGACGATCTGTGCGAGAGCGCACCAACAGTCATCTCCTCTCATGTGAAGACTCTCATCCCAATGTGCCTGACAATAGCCAGAAATAAAAGCCTAGACGATGATCTTCGAGTCAGGTCCATAAGCCTGATTGGGTGTCTAGCCAGGACGAAGACGAAAGCTATAGTCAAGCACAAATTGGTGGAACCAATAGTTGATGTGCTGTTCGAACTCATGGCCAGTCCGCCAGACGACGAGAACGATGAGATTTATTTCAGTGGTGAAAATGAGTACAATACCCCAGTGACTTGTGCCACTGAAACCTTGAATCTTCTGGCAATTCACCTGAAACCTGATAAACTCGTACCCCACCTGCTCAAGCACATTGATCCAGGCCTCCAGAGCAGTGACATATGCGCGAAAAAGGCGTCGTACCTTGCGTTGGCTGTTCTCGCTGAGGGCTGCGCAGAGCACATCAGATCGAAGTACCTTGAGTCATTCCTTCGGTGTATCTGCCAAGGAATAACAGATCAATCACCGGTGGTGCGTAATGCAGCTCTCTTTGCTCTCGGGCAGTTCTCGGAATATCTTCAGCCAGAAATTAGCCAATACTCACAGCAACTATTGCCAGTTCTTTTTGATTATCTCGGGCAGATGTGCGCACACCTGAAACAGGAAGGACGAGAGCCACCTTCTGTGGACAGAATGTTCTATGCATTGGAAACATTCTGCGAGAATCTAAACGATGCTCTTCTGCCGTATCTCCCGACTCTCATGGATAGGCTGTTCGAGACATTGAGCAGCGATTCTCCAGTTCATATCAGGGAGTTGGCGATCAGTGCCATTGGAGCTGCTGCTAATGCTAGTAAAGAGCACATGCTTCCCTATTTTCAAAGGATAATTGCTGTACTTGATGTGTACTTGACGAATACCCACACTGATGAGACTATTTGCCTTCAAGTTCAAGCAGTCGACACCCTAGGCGCTCTTGCCCGAACAATTGGTGAGGATAATTTTGCGCCACTTGTTGGCAAGTCCCTAGACCTTGGTATCAAGCTAATAACTAATACAGACGAGCCAGACCTGAGAAAAGTTGTGTACGGACTTTTCGCCTCGATTGCTTCAATCACAAAGAAGGAAATGGCCCCAGTGCTGCCTCAAATCCTAGAACATATCTTCAATAGCATCCAGAGCTCTGAAGGCATTGTCCCTCATTTCAAGGATGGAGAGAGTGCTGCATTTCCAATATACGAGAATGCCAGTGACAACGAGAATGAGGACGAAGAAGACATCGAGAATACAGACAACGAAGACGATGACGACGAGGACGAGGAGGTAGCTGGATACAGCGTAGCAAACTCCTACATTGAGGAGAAAGAGGAGGCAGTCTTAGCCTTGAGGGAAATCGCTCATCACACCGAGGACGCGTTTCTCCCTTTCCTCGAGAAATCTTTTGAGGAGACTTTCAAACTCATCAATTACCCTCAAGAGGACATCAAGAAGGCATCGATAGACGCTCTATCGCAATTCTGCATCAATTTCTCGAAGATAAACACACCCGAAGGAAAAGAGGCATTATCGAAAGCAATCGGGGTTTACGTTCCCAAGCTATCGGAAATAATTCGACTGGATTGCGAGCCACAGGTGGTAATAAGTGGCTTAGAAGCCTTAGCAGATCTTCTCAATGAGATTAAAGAGGATGTTGTTACTGGGGATGGCCACAAAGATGCTGTTATGAATTGTGTGATTGACGTATTCACTGGAAAAATCGAGTGTCAAGATCAGGATGAGGGGGAGGAGGAGGACGACGAGGCGGAGCAAGACGAATTTTTGATAGAGTGCGCTGGAAATGTGTTGTCGTACTTTGGGAAGGCCATTCAACCCGAGGAGTTTGCATTGTATTTTCAGAAGACTCTGCCTTATCTTAAGGAACGCGTCAAGGAGACCAAATCTGAGGCTCAGAGATCGTTCGCCGTTGGTACGATATCAGAGTGTCTCTCTGGACTCAAGCACACAGTTGCTGCTTTTGTTCCTCAGCTTCTGCCTCTGTTCAGAAAAAGGATTGAGGATCCTAGTCCTGAAGTCAGGAATAATGCGTACTATGGGATTGGAGAATTGGTGCTTTATGGAAAGGAAGCTGTATACTCTCACTACAATGAGATTCTTCAGCTATTGTCACAGGCTCTGCAGAGAGAAGAGCATGCTGGACCCAGGGATAATATGACTGGGGTCATTGCCAGGCTCATTATCACCAATTACTCTTTGGTGGATTTAGAGAGAGTATTTCCAGCATTCGTACAACAACTCCCACTCAAACAGGATTTCGAGGAGTATCAAGCTGTCTTCAGGAGTATTTTGATGCTGTATCGGGCTGGGCATGAAGTTATCAAGCCCCATATGCAGACCCTTCTCAAGGTTGCCATTCGTGTACTGCATGAGAAGAAAGCACCTAATGAAGGTAATTCAAACGATTTTCGTTTGATCAAACGAGTGATAATGGTATTTGATGAAATTTGATTTTCATGGAATTGTTTGTTTTTTTCAATTGCAGAGACAAAAGGATTAATAACAGAATTGATAAATTCCGCTCAGCAAGATTTTCCCAATGACTGGAGCACGGTATTCACCGATCTCCCCCACGAACTCCAACAAATTCTCTCGGCGTGAAACTAAAAACCCTCCCAAGTGTTTACATATGATTTTTCTACGTCATCGAGCGATTAAGAAATTGTTGCCAACTAATCAGATGATATTGCACAGAGTGGACCATGTTGTTGACCGACAGTGGTTCAAGAAAAATAATTATTTTGCACTGGCTAAAAGAGTCTAGTCAAAGGCTATCACTAGCACTCGAAGCAACCGAATGTTTCTTAAATTCTGTTTTTTTCTTCTATTACGGTTAAATGCGAGTCAATATCGTGCCTTATTTCTAAAACAAGTGTTTTGTTTTGTTCTTTTAAAAAAAAATAATTTTTTCCTCTCTGGTAGCAATTCTCATTTGAATTTTATTTCCATTTTGAGGAGCCATATCGACGGAAGGCTGTCGATAGCGGATAATTTTCCAAGGATAACTAACCAGTGACAGTTGAGTGTTTATATCGAATATAGTTTAACATTGATTAATTTATCTCTCAAAGTCTCGACCAATACTCGTCGCATATTATTCTGCATCACCCATTCAATTTTCCAGTGATGATTTTTTAATAATCTTTAATTGCGCGAACGATTCTCTCAATCGAAACTCTGAAAGAAAAAATAATCACTCAAATACCACTAGAGCTGCAAAATTCTTATTTTTCTCCAAAGTTATGCGCATACAAATGAATTTATGAAATTTTCCAGTAAAAACCCCTCGTGCCCTCGTCATTTAAGACCTCGTGATTTTTACACCTGGAAATCTCAACGCGATTTGTTCACAACAATTGTATGGAGTTATGGAGCAATGTTAATAATTCTGAAGCACTAGTGGTATTACATATAAATATACAACATTTTACATTCGTTGTGTTCCTTTGTCGCTTGCAAGGAATAAATATCAGAATGCACGTGTAATTTATGCTCGCCAAGCAATTGGTGTAATTGCAAGTGAATAAAGGTTTTGCATTTTTACTACTTATCATTCTTTTGATTTTCTTTACACAATTGTGTACATATTAACTCGGTAAACAAGGTAGCCCATTGGGGAATAAACTATCGGATACTCGTGAGGATTAGAAACTATCATATCAGGTTTAATCTCCTTAAACAACACGACTACAATAATCACTACTAAGAATGGTAGATTTTCACGAACCAGATTAGATTCTATCACTATCAATGAAAAATTTCCGGAAAGGGGGTAGGGAGAGAGGGGAAGAACTCGAGAGGAAAATATGAATTCTTCGATATTTCTCGATGTGCGATCATAACCAGTTGATCATTTTTTGTCTCGACTTTTTTTTTTTATAAGCTCTACTTTTTCGTAGAGGGGAGTGATAAGAGATTCCGTGGGATAGCACACGCGGTTTCCGTAATGTTATATCGATACAGATGAGTGATATCGAACGCCGGTTGATAGCGTTGTCATTTATCGAGAGTAAGAGATAGCCTCTTCGGGGCTGGTCAGCCGAGACGTCTCTTTGGTCTCTAGTTGAGGCTTCGTTGAGGCATCGGAGCCCCAACTATTTTATCATTCACCATCACTCTAGTCTAGATATTAAAAAAAAAAAAAAATCAAGGAAAAACGGAATATACCAGTGGAAATAAACGTATTCCTAGTGAACGAGTTTTCATGCCGGATAATTGTTCCGAGAATCTCATTACTGAAGAGTTAATGCTGCGATCGAAGTGATTTTCATTTATTGGGAGTGTAATTGCACTTTTAATTTATTTTGGCATTTATTCGGTGGATTGTTACAGGGCAAACCCACGCCGATTATCCAATAACGTAATTGTACGTGCGTATGAATAAATAAATTCATGAAAGTGTGTCCTTGAACGAATCCATCGATGAATCGAATGAAGAAGTAACTTGTTGCGGTGACACGTAAGTGTCTCATCAAAAGGAAAAAAAAAATGGGAATAAAAAATAGATCATTATAATTGATCCGATCCGAATCTCCCTTGAATAATGAGAATAATGCTGGAAATCATTTCAGCATTGACGATCAATTACAATTTATAATTCCATAATTGCGGATGCAATTAAGACGATTTGATGAGGCACGGTGAGAAGTACGTGACACTGGGATTTAAAATAGTGTATTCTATGTTTGGTTGGCGGGTTTTATGACTGTTTCTTTGAATCGAGTGCCGATTTACAGCGACTGCGCGATGAATTTGTCCTAATATTTATTGTGTGCGCGCGCAAGACCCTTTGGCCCTTTAAAACATTTAAATTGCCAGTTTCCCCGTTAATTTCTAGGTTTTCAAAAGAATTTATTTCGAGTGCAGTGGGCCAAGTGTGGGGGACACGCGGGTGAAAGTCGAACGTGTGCCGAAATCCCATTATTATTGCGTTCACTTGTCAATCGTCCTTCGTCAACGAAATATCTTCTCACTTTGGTTAAACTCTTTGTTCGATTATCACCACAGCACACCTCATCCGTCGATCGTTTATTTTTTAAAAAAACTCATCTCAATTAAATAATTTACTGTGAAAATATCGGAAAATAATCTATCGACTGCCAACTACCGGAGCATGCCACGTGGACCTGAACTAGTTAAAAGTGACAAAACAAATGGAATAAAAAACAACTGGTGAATCAAGTAGAAAATAAAAAAAAACCACGGCCACCGGTTCCACCTCTCGTCAAGTGGCCCATATTCATCATCACGATAAAGTTCCCCTCTGGGGTTGAATTTTCCATTAAACAAAGAGAAAAAAAAACAAAATCAGAAGCACTGGTAACTGGAGAATCGAAACAGTGTGTCGACGATGCCCGAGCGATGATGAACAGTTCGAGTGTCGTTGGTGATCGGTATTTCGAAATAACCGATCCATGGAAGTGTGTAATTACCACAATGGAAAGTTGTGCTGATAATCGACGATGGACTAAGTACAAGTAAATTTTTCCACCTGTAAAATCAATCAGCCTTAACGATGGACGTCGAACTAGTGACAAGGACTTCCCTGAGTTCACTCCACAAAGTTGACGATGGAAGAATTGTATCGCCAAACAGTCTTGATGAGTGGACATGGTCCAGCCTCAGGGTGAGTTGCCTTTAAGATACGATTTTAATTAGCCCACTGATCAATTCCACGGATCACTCATACGATATATCCACAGATCGATAACCAGGTAAAGAGAAAAAGAGAAGACAAAAAAATCAATTGTAAAGTGGAAAAAAAAAGAATTTCACCGGAAGGATATATACAAAAGAATCCCTCACTAATCCCTTATCTTTCTGATTTGGTCGTTAACTCTGGGGCGTCTGCGCTATGATTTGGCCCTGGTACGGGGTCTCTGTAGACCCCTTTTTGGCGTCAATGTACAGAGCACGTACCCATCTGTATCACACAACAGTCCTAGCATACATAAAAAAAAGAACCCCCCAACAAATCCCCCAACAAATCCCCCTACCATTTCCCTACCCAAACGAGGAAATAAAAATGCATTGGCATGGCAATGTGAGCCACCCAACAATGTATACGTGAGCTTCCAAATCCAAAGGAGTGATCGCCGGGGAGTGAATTCGCGCAGTCGTCGTCGTTGAAATTCACGGAAGTGTCGGGTGGATATAGCTGCTCCAACATATCCCAATCGACTGATGCATTCTGTTATTTTACCAAGTCAAAACCACTCGCTAAACATTATTACCACTCCTATCGTCATTGTGTGCAATCCGAGTGACGTATTACGCGCGAAATGATGAATGACCGGCAGCAAGAATTATTGCCGATTAAACATAAATAAATGCCGTACAGCCACCACCCTCGATAATTTGTGAGTTACATTGATGTCTGCGCAGTGCATTAAACACCCATTAATTCACACTATTCCGTATACCATTGTATTTTATGACAAATTATTTCCCTGCGCCTTTGATGATTCTCGCGATTTCGTTTTATATGAATTCATCATCAAAATCAGTGTCATCAACGATGCATAGACATCTAGGAGATTACCGAAATTATCGAGATCCCCGTGGAGACGTCAGAAATCGCATTGCTGAATATTTGATGTGTGAATTAGAGCACGAAGATTCTCAGGTCAGAAATATTTATATTGCACACAGCCAGGATCCATTAGCATCGCGGTAATAACGAGATTAACTCAACTCAAGTACGAAAATACACATGGTGAAACTGAGGAGGAGTAATCGGTGTGCGGGTGTGTGAATCAATGAATGTCCAGCCAATTTCTCTTAGACGGGAATTATTTTTTACCTCGTCATTCAATATCAATCCGGGCATTTATTAATAACACTCACATTTACCTTTCACCAGAAACAATTCGAGTACAAAAACTTGGAAAAATTGTACACCATCTATCAGAGGAGGCTGCAGAATGGATATCTATCGTTGTTCGTTCTGGTTCAATTGGTGCTTGGAATTGCACATTGTGCTGTGTTAATAATGACAGTAAGTATTTTCAACACGAAATGATAAACAAAAAAAAAAAGAGAAGAATAAAAAGAAAAAAAGAGAGAAACGATGTACAATTCTCCCTTGATTTTTTTTTTTTCATTGAATCATTGATTGACTGATTTCCTGTCATTTTCGTGTTTTATGTGTTGTCAAATGAGGAAAATGAGTCATTGGGTGTTAATTTCAAATGTTAAGAGTGAAGCATTGGTATTGCAATTGTTCAAAGGTCGAGATAAAGGCGTCCTTACCGGACGTTGTTACCTGGTGCATCATGGGTGCACTGTTGTGTCCAGTAATAGCTCTATCATTCAGGTCTAAACTCATAGCCAGAGAGACGTATCTACCAGTTGTTCTGTCATGTGTCATTGTCGTTCTGCTTGTCCTTGGTGACTTGGCAGTGCCCTTCTGGTATACCCTCGGTATATCCAAGGATACACCAGCGATAAGGTGAGGAAGTTAAAAGAAATCAGAAATCGTAATGAGTAGTGATAAGAACTCGGAGGGATATACGGTTAATCTGGTTTTAAGCGTATAATTGTCAGATAGAAGTGGTAAATACCCGGTTACACATTGATTATCAGTGACCTTGAGAGTTCTTTAAACTATCTAGACTGCTAGTCAGCTAGCCAGCTAGTCGGCTAGTTTCCCCGATTTTGGAATTTGCCATTGTTGGCCACTTCCTGTTTGCTCGAAAACCCGCATTGACTTCTTTTTTTTTTTTTTTTCTATTGTTCCAGGCCCGCATATGCTACTCATGTTCTATTGGCTTGTTATGTATTTTTACCTTTAACCGAGAATCTTCATGCGTTTATTCTCGGGATCACGGCAACTCTGTGCTATCTCACGAGTCTTGCACTCATAACTTATAGAAATTTGCCGGATTACACTGGAAGGGTGAGTGATAATTGAGTTTGTCGTCATCTCCAGTTAGCTTTATAGCCTCTTATATCCATCCAGATAATTGCCGATGCCATTTATTTCGCCTGTGTGAATGGCCTTGGTCTTTACTTCCGATTTATGAATGAGGTGGTTATCAGGAGATCGTTCCTGGACCGTAGAAAATGCGTTGAATCCACGCTGAGACTCAACTACGAGAAAGATCAAGAAGTGAGTCATCGAAGAAATACCTAGTGATCTTTGAAAAATAATCCCAAGTGGTTTTTATTTTGTTTTGATGTCAGGAACAACTAACGAGGAGCATTCTGCCTCAACACTTTGCTGCCAAGATAAAGAAGGATTTCAGGGATATTTTTAAATTCATTGAGGAGCATAAAAAGCCACCACCCAAGGGGCGACGTCGAAAGTGAGTGTGCGGTTTGATTAAACGATTTCTTTTATTAGATGTTGAATTCTTGCAGTGACTTGTACGTCGAGACTCACAACAATGTCAGTATATTGTACGCGGATGTTGTCAATTTTTCGGGATTGACTGTGACACTTCCGGTGAAGAAACTGGTGGAAACGTTGAATGATCTGTTTGGATCCTTCGACGAGGCTTCGGAGAGGCACAATGTCTTGAGGATTAAATTCCTGGGGGATTGCTACTACTGCGTCAGCGGAGTTCCTACACCTAATGCACAACATGCAAAGAGTTGTGTTGATCTAGGTAAATCTCTTCTTTAGTAAACAAATCTGATTCACAATCTGTGGGGAGATGGAATCGATAACGTACTAATAGAACGAGAGGAGAGGGCAAGCCTGTTTTTCATTTGCCTTGCACATTGAATTATCTTGAGGATAGGCAATTGAAGAGGGTGGCTTCCTCCTAAAATCACAGATTTCTGGATGATATGGATGCAATTTTCAGGTCTTGACATGATAAAAATAATCAAAGAGGTGCGAGCACGAGTCCGACGAGAGTGCGGTGTTGACATAAATATGAGAATAGGAGTTCACTCGGGGAAGATAATATCCGGGATATTGGGTGCAAACAAGTGGCAGTATGACGTGTGGTCGAGGGACGTTGTGATAGCGAATAAAATGGAACAAACTGGTCAACCAGGTAAAGTCCACGTGACACAGCAGACACTCAATCTGCTGGACGCCAGTCAATACGACTGTGTACCAGTGGTATCCCTCAATGACGAGACCCTCAACAAGTACAACATAAAGAGCTATTTGATAACTCCATCGCTGCCAGGTTCACCAGTTCTGCAGGTGGGAAACGGGACAGTGAAGTATCTTGTTGAATCAGTTGATACGCAAACCTTGTTGCAGAACAGCGAGAGCACCTTGACGATAGCTGATCCAGTAACTCCACCAGTTTCTAATAAACACTACGTCAGGTGGTACAGTGTTAGACCAAGTACGAGTGGTGGAGCAGCCAGGAATACCAAACGATTGACTCAAACCATGAATAATCATGCTGACGTCTTCGCTGGAACCTTCAGGAGGAGAACCCACTTCATGGACTCGTGCCTCAAAGATTATCACTTGATGCTCAAGGCCGCTGATGCTGAGATGGAGGACGCCATCAAGCAGATGCCCCTCAGCAAGTGGGAGTAAGTTGGAATTCTTCGGTGGGATATTCATGTTATTCCAAGAGTTGTGCTTATTTCATTTGTAGACAGTGGTCCAAGTGGGAACCGATAAATCCCATTTTTCTCACGTTCTCGAGGCTCAATTGGGAGATTCCTTTCTTGAGAGAGCCCGATCCTCTCTTCAAGTTCTTCGTTGGCTGTGCTGCACTCGTTTTACTGTCAATGGGTTTCATCTTTCTAGCTCCTGCTATCATATTATCAGAGTGCGTTAATTGATTAATTTACATAAACATTGGACGTTGGTCGTTCATGGATTTTAATAGCTCAGGATTTTTGCTCGTGTTTTAGATGGCATCTGAGCACAACTGTGGGCTTCATGCTGGCCATGCTCTTCCTCATTGCACTGCTACCATTAACGTGGATGCACTTCGTATGGAATCGATGTAAGGATCCCCATGATGAACACGAGGGACATATCCCCCAGCCTAGGAATAAATTACTCCACTTTATGTATCAAACTAGTATTAAAGTGAGTTTTTCATTAGTCTCCTTTCTATTTTTATCCGAGGAAAATAAGGCTTTTATGGAGGAAATTTTTCCAGGTCGTTTGGAGTGCACTCTTGAGAACTACTCTTTACCTAGTGATTACGATAATGCTGGCTGCTTGCGCCATGTTTGATATGCTGGTAAGATATTCCTGAAGAGAGTAGAGAAAATTCCATAATCCATTGAAACTCAATCTATCGATGAAGTAATTAATTCTGCCTTATTGAATCCTCAGTTTGAATGTAAAAATTTCGATCGTCTCGGCAATAATAACGCGACCTCCAGTATAGCCGACAGTGGAGCTGCTGATATCGAGTGCATAGTCTCCCCCTGGGTAACATTATTCAGTAGAAAGAGAGAATTTGGGCAAAAAAATAGCCGAATACATGTCATTAATGAATTTCAGCAAATGTCAGAAACCTGTTCACTGGCGATTCTCACGAGTTTTCTATTCTTGAGAGTTCATTTTTTTCTGAAACTCGTGATTGGGCTCGGCATTGTTGGCTTCTACACGTGGACTATTACCGAGTATCGATCGACTCTCTTCCAGGTAAATAGGGTATTTAAGAGGCTCCAGCTCAATGAGTTATGCAAGGGCTTGAGTGACAGTGTAAATTGGTTTCAGTCTGGCGCAACCTGGAATCCCCACCTCGAGCCAAGAATAGCACACATTCTCAATGTAGTGTTTCTTACATTTTCTCTGCATTTGATCGATCGCCAGGCCGAGTATTTGAGTAGATTAGATTACCAATGGAAGAGGCAGTTGACGCAGGAACAGGATGAAGCGTTTCACACGAGAAATGCTAATAAACTCTTGTTGAGGAATATTCTGCCAGAGCACGTGGGTCAGTATTTTTTTTTTTCATTATTTACTGTTAAAATTGCACCCTCTCATCCTCAAAATACTGGAGAGTTATTCGCGATTTCGATTAAGGATAGAAGGATGGAAAATAGATGAATTATTTCTTGATGGCCCCGATTTTTTTTTTTATAAAAAGCGATGATAAAGAAGCGAAAAATAAGGATAAAATGATGAAGTCATTCGATTTTATTTGCAACAGCCGATTTTTACCTAAATATGAATCGCACTGAGGAACACGAGCTGTACCACGAGGCGCACGAAAATGTTGCAGTGATGTTCGCTTCCCTGACCGATCTATCGATAGACGAGAGCAATATATTAATTGATCTCAATGAGATTATCTGCGAATTCGATAAACTATTGTTCGAGCCCTGCTTTGTCTGTCGTATTGAGAAGATTAAAATCGCGGGGACGACGTACATGGCTGCATGTGGCCTAGAAGCGAGGCGGAGAGATTCCCTGGAGAATGAGGATCAGTATCACGACGAGCATGTGGTTAAGGTCATGGCGCAATTCGCTGTGAGAATGCTGGAGATTCTCGACAGACTCAATGCCGAGACCTTTCCCAATGGAAAACCCTACAAGTAATCGCTTTTTTAAAAGAACCATTTCAGCGTGTGAATTTTTGCATGACATTTTTCAACTATAACGTTAAAAAAAAATCATAATTTAATTCAATGGAATCAGATAAAAAATGGCTGCATCTGTCCAATGACTAAACAATTCCTCGAATCATGAGATATCAATCAATACTGAGTTCAATTGATTTATCCACAGATTAAGAATTGGAATTTCACATGGTGAAGTTACAGCGGGTGTTGTGGGCGCCCAAAAACCCTTGTACGATATTTGGGGCGATGCTGTGAATATGGCCTCCCGGATGGATACAACGGGAGTCCCTGGAAAAATCCAGGTAGAGAACAACTCGATAAAATCGCATTAATCATCGTGCTGAATTCCCAAAGATAACTCAAGTATTTTCTACTCTTTATCGATGAACAGGTGACGACAGAGACAGCGACAGTCCTCGAACAAGATGGAATAAAGTGTAATCTTCGTGGAAAAACTTGGGTGAAGCCCAAAGGCCTTGTGACAACGTATTTCATTGGGGTTGACGAGAAAAGAAGGCTACAGACGGCTGATTTAGCCGAAGAAACGACAAACCTTTAGATTAATTAGAGGACCAATGAGCAATTTCAATGACCAAAGAAACGACCAGCATCTCTTATCCACAATTATCATGATTATCAGAGAATTATTATTGAAATAATGCCAATCGGCTTGACACTGTGAATTAATAAAATTATTATTTTTCTACAGAGTGACAAATTATTTTCAGGTTGTCACTGATTTTGTAAATAATTCTGTAAATATTCGTTTCGTCTGAAACATATGTGACCAAATCTATTCGATCATTCAAATAAAGTATTTATTACACTAATTTGTTTTCTTTTGATATTTTCCTGGCCACTTTTTACCCGCTATCATCTCTTTCATTTTTATGTTCATTAGCGAATTATCGGGGGTATAAGCAGCTCAAGAGTGGCAAATACCCAAACAAATATCCAGAAATAGAGTGGCTGTTTTTAGATAATGCTAAAAGCTTTTGAACTCTGGTGTATAAATATTGATAATGACTTACCCCGCCTCTCGATATTATAGGTGATAAGCTCCTGTTGACATGCAGCCCATCCTCACGCCAGTGAAATCATCAAGATTATATCTAGTCAAGCATATAATAGATTTACGTAATTAAACAAATCAACGGATCTACAACTGGAAAAAAAAGTGATGAGTAGTACTTGAAAATCCTTCAGCTCCATTCGATATGTTCTTTTGTAATTAACTCAAAATGTTCATAACGGCTTTTCTTGATCAGATTGCGAGTCCACGTATGTTCAAATATTCCCCTAGGCCAGTTTACCAATCTCATTCTCCCTAGCCTGAATAATCTAGAACGTCAAATATCCAAAGTCTCTAGACCGACGAAGTGTGTCGTCTCTGTCGTCTCTGTCGTGTCTGTCACTCACAGTACGAAAATATTCTCGTGACGACAGAGTTGGCTTTTCTCATTCTGTGGTACATCATACAAGATCCTTTGGTGAATTAGTTTCTATCGATTTTAATCGTGCAGTTTTGGTGCTTCTCCCATGAACCCGAAGTGACCACGACTTCGAGGCCATCAGCGTAAAGGTTGAATTGTTTTGAACGTAATAATCAGATATTCTTGACGAAGTGAATCACCTTATTTCAACGAGTCCATTTTCATTTTATTTTTTGACAGTAGTCAAGTGACATTGGAGTCATCTCTTGCCCATGAGACTGCAGTACTTCAAAATAACATAAATGAAAATTCTCAACACGTTAAAAAAACTGATTGAAAATCAAATTAGCTTCACGTAATTTCTCTAGTCTCTAATTGCGTACAGTTGCAATTGACTTGACATTGAAACCACCCACTGGACACCGATGACACCAATAAATCTAAATTCGATATCTCCCATTTATCTCATTCGACAAAGCTGTTATATGTCGTCAAATTTCCGGTAAACCGCGTAATGAAAGAGGAAAATGAATGATTGTGGTTGCTGCAGGGTTAGGTTGAGTGAAAGGCTAATGCTTTTTCCTCGTTGCAGACTCTGAGGTGAAGATAAACAGCTCAAAATGGATATTGGATTTTCTTCGTACCACAACGGTGGACCTGTGAGGGAGCAGGATTTTGAAAGACTATCACAGACCGTTGGTACTTCGATTTTAAAGATTTCCCAGAATGTATCGTCGATGCAGAAGATGGTCAATCAGCTGGGAGGTGCTACCGACTCCCAGGAGCTCAGGAATCAGCTGTAAATATTATTTAATCCACTCCATCCATTTTTTTCCAACGAATTTCTCTCTGAAACAATTTTTATTTATTTCCAGACACCAGATTCAACACTACACCCATCAACTTTCGAAAGACACAACCGTCCACCTTAAAGACCTGAACGCCATAGCCAGTAACTCATCGTCAACGAGTCCTGGGGAACAGACACGGAGGAACATGCGACTGCAGAACGAAAGGCTTCACGATGAATTCATGACAGCCCTCACCAGCTTTCAGGGAATTCAGAGATTGGCAGCTGCCAAGGAGAAGGAAATGGTGAAGAAAGCAAAGGCTAGTGCTGGTATACAGTTTGGAGAGAAGAAACAGGAGACACTGATTGAGCTGCAGGACAGCAGAACACAGAAGCAATTGCAACAGCAGAATTTGCAGGATGAACAAAATCTCCGAATGCTCGAGGAGCAGGAGGCCAGTATACGTCAGCTGGAGGTATGAAAAACAATTTTTTACAATTGAAAATTACAATTGACTTCATTCCAACGCCCTCGACATATAAATGATCATTTCAACGTGTTTCCCCTAGAAAAACGAAAATAAATATCCGAAGAACCTTTTATCGAAAATAATAATTTTTTTTTCACTGGTTAACTCTCCAGATTGACATCAGCGATGTAAATCAAATATTCAAGGACCTAGGAGCTCTAGTCCACGACCAAGGAGAGGTAATTGACTCGATTGAGGCATCTGTCGAAAGAACAGAAGTATTTGTAAGCGAAGGAGCTCAACAACTGAGAACAGCAGCGACCTATCAGAACAAATTACGAAAAAAGAAGTGCATCCTTGTGATTATCGGTGCTGTTGCACTCTCAATTCTCATCGGGATAATAGTTTGGCAGACGTCCTAAGAATGTTGACTAACACTAATAATGTTTTTATGAATATGCCCAATCAATTTGTATCGAATAACTACTAACGAGTCCCAGGGAACTCCAATGTTTCATCTTCGAGGGAAAAGTTCAAGATACTCTCCGTTCCATTTGTATGATAAATCATGAAAATGCATTACGCGGTATTGTTCGAGATGGAGTTTTAAATGCTATTGCCCGTATCTAATTATTATGATATAATAATGCTGCAGATAGTAATGTAACCGAGGAATACATTCATATAACGCAATTAAGTGGTTATGATATTAATGAGCGCCATTAATGACTGGGGATTGAATTTGGTGATGATAATCATCGGCATTATGTGAATCATTCCTTAATGTAGATTAATCATGGGTAATATTATCATTTCTTATCTTTTCTGTTTGTTATAGAATTATTTGAGAATATAATGTGTAAATCGAAGTATAATCTCCTGTATTATATATTTAAAAAATGTTGTTTTATTTTAATGAGTCAGAATAAATTATACGAATCAAAAACAATTTTTTCTGACTTTCAGTCATTCATAAATATTTGATTTGGTATTTTTTGTAGTTAAATTGGTATTTATCATCAGGGGTTTATTGTGATTTTGTGTTTAAACAAAATGCAATGTTTTTGTCAAGTTACCGAGCCGACCTGGGAGACACCCCCATTGCGTGTGGCGCTCTCCCTCTCTTTGGGGTATATCTACTTTGGCCAATCCTCTTTGGTAGGACCAAGAGGATTGTCTAAAGTAGAGGTTCAGTTCTGGCGATTTGAGTGATCCCAGCGGCATCGTAGTAGCCGACCCCATAAGAGGGAGGGCGCTACACGCAATGCTAGGGGTATCTGTCGTTAATCGACTCAGTGACTTTTCAGTAAAATACAGCTCCCCTTTTAATAATTCTGAGCTGACTGGAATTTTTGACGAGCTGATTGCTAAAAAATAAAGGATAATTTATTCCCAAATTTGGACTGCTAGTTACTCCGGAAATTAATCGTTTTTTTTTTCAATAATTGTTAGCTAGCACCGTAGCGGTTGTCAACAACTAGAGCGCTAGCTAACCATTATCGGAAAAAATCGATTAATTGGTGGAGTAATTAGGAGTGCCAATTTTGGAGTAAATCATCTTTTCCAGACAATCCAACCGGGCTTTAATTCCAATTTCAAAATGCA